TTTCTTTTTGGTTCCGGGGATCAAACTCAGGACCTTGCACTTTCAAGGCAGACAGCAGAACCACTGAGCTAAATCCCCGGCCCTTAAAATGGGAATAATTCACATTGATTGGCCCATCCAATTATTATTAATTGAATGTTAGTAAGCATAAAGTACTAAAACTTTCCTTGGTATCATCCTAAAAATGCATTAGGAGGGCCAAGGATACTGTGGTAAGTACCCCTGCCCAAGCACTATTATCTGATACAGAAGCTGAGACGTACAGAGGTTTGGGTTGTTCAAGGTCACATGGTTAGTAAGTCAGGAAACCAAGATTTGATTCTAGGTAGCTGGGCTACAGAGATAGGAGCACATAACTGCTTCCTTATCTGCTGCCTGTGATTGTGATCATGGGCCAACATGAATCACTTTGTACACTCTCATACATTACAGTAACATAAACACGATCATCTTCTAAGGTAACTATAGATTTTTAAAAATTGGTTTCTTGAATTAGGTCACATTTGGCTCATGAGGGTGTTGCATTCACTTACTGTAGATAAAGAAGGGACTTTCGGGTGTGGTGACACTTATCTGTACTTCCAGGGAGGCTGAGGCAGGAGGATCTCCAAGAGATCAAGCTCAGCCTGGTACAAGCCTAGGAATAGTGAGTTCGAGGCCAACCTGAACTATGTAGTGAAACCTTGTCTCAAAGGGAAAAAAGAAGAAAAAGTTCTTAAAACCCACAGATCCTACTTTACATTGTAAATATTTTGATACTATTTGTTTTTTTATGTGCATGCATTAATTTTGATATAAGTAAAAAGAACTTAGAAAATAACAAAAATTGAATACAGCATACAGTTGCCACTAAAACAAAACAAAACAAAACAGAATCATATTAGACTTACTCTTTTGTTAATTTACTTTAGTCATTTAACTCCATAGTTTGGATTTTTTTCTCTACTAGTTTTTATAGAAGACCTCAATCCTTATAATAACTGCAGAGTATTTCACGTGTAAATGTACCACAATTCACTTCTTATTCAGTTTATTACCAGTGTTCAGGTTTATAAGAATTGTGGTTATGGATTCACATTGTATACTGCTGTATGGAGTTAGGAAGGAATGAAGGTAGAATAGATTATTACCAATTGCTGGATCAAAGGGTGAATCTGAAATGTATGCTTTTGTTTGTTTGTTTGTTTTTTGAGACAAGTTCTCACTATGTAGTCCAGGCTGGACTTGAACTCACTATATAGTCCAGGTTGGCCTTGAACTTGTGGTGATCCTCCTGCCTCAGCTTCCCCAATGCTGGGACTACAGGGGTGCACCACCACGCCCAGTCAGGACCTTGAGCTTTCGAGGCAGTCATGGTGCCGCTGAGCTAAATCCCCAGCCCCAAATCTATGGTTTTTTTTTTTGGTACTGGGGATCAAACTTGGGACCTTGCACTTGTGAGGCAGGTGCCAGAACCACTGAGCTAAATCCCCAGACCCTAAAAATCTATGCATTTTAGCTGGGGATTTAGCTCAGTGGTTCTGCTGCCTGCCTTGCAAGTGCGAGGACCCGAGTTCAATCCCCGGTACAAAAACCCCCCCCCAAAAAACCCCAAAACTATGCATTTTTAAATTGAAGTTCATTTTCAACTTTTTTTTTTTTTTGGTACCGCCGGGGATTGAACTCGGGTCCTGGCACTTGAGCAGCAGGCAGCGAAATCACTAAGCTAAATCCCCGGCCCTAAGCATCTTTGCTCTTTAAGGGGAAAGTAGGAAGAGTAACGTTTTCAGCCAAGAGCAATGCCACACACCTGTTATCCCAGCTACTCAGGAGGCTGAGGCAGGAAGATCACAAGTTCAAGGCTAGCCTAGGCAACTTAGTGAGATCCTGACTCAGAATAAAATTTAAAAGGCCAATGTTGTGGCACATACCTGTAATCCCTGCACTCTGGGAAGCTGAGGCAGGAGGACTGCAAGTCTGAGCCCAGGCTGGGTGATTTAGCAAGTTTGTAAAACTCTGTCACAGATTTTTTTTTTTTTTGGTACTGAGGATCGAACTTGGGTCCTTGTGCTTGTGAGACAGGCGGCAGAACCACTGAGCTAAATCCCCAGCCCTTGTCACAGAATTTTTTTTAAAAGGAGGGGGCTGGAATGAGAAGGAGGGCCTGGAGATGTACCTCAGTGTAAAGGCCCTAGGTTCAATGCCTAGTACTGCATTAAAAAAAAAAAAAAAAAGAAAGGTAACATTTTCTGAACCCCCACAGTGTGCCTCCTAGACACTGCCTGCACACCCACTGTCACACTGCAGCCTCTATTCAGCAGGCTGGAAGGTGGAAAGCCCCAGGCCTCAGCATAAGTACCACAAGGGGCCCATGCAGAGGCCTGTGGGTCCTCTTCCCCACCATGGCCTGCCCTCCACAAAGCCCCAGGAGGCTATGGAATGTATCCCTGTGTAACCCTCAGGCCCCCAGGACCAGACTGCTCAGCACCTGCCCAGCCTGCACCTGGCCCCACATAAGCATTGCCTCCCTCACCTTCACAGCCACCTTTTGGACAGGTGTTTTCACTGTTCCTATTTTACAGATGAGGGAACCACAGCTCAGATATTGAAGGGCCTGCCAAGGAGGCAGCTGCTAAGTAGTAGTCTGGATCTGAACTGAGGTCTTTTGGAGTCCAGAGGCTGGATACTTCAACAACTAAAAAAAAAAATTAAAAAAAAAAAAAAAAAAGAAAAGAACTAGCAAGGCTAGGCGTGGTGGTGCACACTTATAATCCCAGCACTTGGGAGGCTGAGGCAGGAGGATTCCTATGAGTTTGAGACCAGCCTGAACTACACAGCAAGACCTTGCCTTAAGAGAAAAAAAGAACTAGCAATGACAGGTGTCCCCAACAGCCTTTACTGCCAGACAGGCCCAGCAGGCCCCTGAGACCAGGCTCCCACCTTGATCTTCTGTTGATAGATGTTGTCGTCCTCGGCATACTCCTTGTACAGGACCGACAGCTCCAGCCGCTCCGACACCAGAGGATTCTGCACAGCAATCTGCAGGAGGCACGAACCCATCACGCTCTGACAAGACACAGAGTGACCCACACCCAACTGCCACTGCCTACAAAAGGGGTACTGGGCCAGAAACCCCATCACACAGTCACACTGTGTCCCCACCCCATCAGTACACCAGCAGAAGCATTATCTAGGGAGGAACAGCTTCCAAAGTAGAGACAGACAATAGGCCTCAGGCCTGGCTGAGGCTTCTTCTAGATACAGATGCTGGCTACTACTCCCCTACCCTCTTTAGCTCTCACCTCTTGCTGAATTCGGTCCTGCTGAGCCATGATAGCTTCATCATAAGCCAGACAGTTAACACCTAGAAAAAAGGAAAAAGCCAAGGGTTACTGTGTGGTTTGGCCATGTCCACTGCAAGGAGCTGAGCCAGGGACAAACAGTCCAGGAGGAGGAGAGCAGGTGTGGAATCTGGAAGCATGTGTCTTACACCCTGCTCCATCTGCTGTGCAATCTTGGCAAAGTCTTCCCTATTCTGAGCTTCAATTTCCTCATCATTAAAATGAGAAGGTAGGGTAGTGCAGTGGTACATCTGTAGTTCCAGGTATTCAGAAGGCTGAAGCAGCAGGATCACTTGAGCCCAGGAGTTAGAGATCACCCCCGGGTGATACTGTGAGACCCTGTCTCAAAATGGGGGTTAGGGAGGCTGGGGGTGTAGCAGTGACAAAGCATGCATTTGCCTAACATGCTGCATAGGACCTAGGTTCAAATCCCAGCAATGAAAAAAAAAAAGGTGGGGGTAAAGGTGATTAACCTCCCAAAGTGTGTTTTTCCAGCTCTGATACTGCCTTCCTCTTTGCTTTCTAACATCACTTCCCATCAGTCTGGGAATGCTTTGGGATGAAGTGGGGGCACGGTCATCTCTTGGGGAAAGTAAGATGAGGAGGTGGATTCCTGGCCTGGATGAGAACATCCTATGAGCTGCACTTTAGAGATCATGCCCTTCATCTCTCAGCTGTCCTGGGTATTGTTAAAGATGTCTATTTTGCAAATGACAAAACAAATACTGAGAGAGGAAGTAACCTGCCCAAGGTCAAACCAGTAAAGGGCTGTGGCCAAACTCAGATTTGTAGCCAGGCATAGGGGTGTACATCTGTGACCCCAGCACTCAGGAGGCTGAGGCAGGATAGCTATGAGGTCAAAGCCAGCCTGGGCTAATATTGAGTTCAAGGCCACCCTGAACTACATAACAAGACCCTGTCTTAAAAAACAAAACTTAGATTTGTCTGATTCCAATCTGTAATCTTCACCATGCCACTCCTAATACCTCACTGCAGAGCCCGTTCCACAACTGCAAAATGGGGATAACACCACCACCTTTGTCAATACACTGAAACAGCATGGTACTCAAGATAGTAAGTAGCACCTAAGAGTCCTCTAGAATCATAAACAAGTTGGGCAGGTCTGTGGACCCTACCCTGGGTAGCCACTGGGGAGGGAGTAGGAGACCTAAATTCTAGTCCTGGTGGGTGTTTTGTTTTATTTTGCTGAGACAGGATTTTGCTGTTTCCCAGGCTGGCCACGAATTCACAAGCCTTCTGCCTCAGCCTCCCCTGACCTGGGATTACAGGTGTGTGCTACTACATCCACCCTGCCTCTTTCATGTGTGTATCTATACAATCTAGATGAGAGTATATGTGATTCTGAACAAGTCCATTGCAGGTGCCCGAGTTTCCCTCCTTAGAGTGGAGTGTGTGTGCTGAATGACTTTTAAGGTCAATCCTCCTGGGCCTGACCATCCCAGAGTCTCTGCTAAGCCTCGACCCCATGACCTACAACAGTGTTGTCTCGCCCTCAGTGATGTACTCAGTCCCCAGGGCCAACTGGGGCACAAAATGAGAGGATGGGGCATTTTTGAAAGATTCATCTCAGGGGTCTAAAAAAACAATGCCTAGGCAGGTAGTGAGGGGTTCCAAGGCCAGGATGGGGAGCTACACCGGAAAAGGACGTCGCAGCCCCAGGGGCAGACGCGGGCAGATGCCGGCAGCCCCTCCGACCCAGGTCTCCGAAGCATCCCAAGCCGTCCGGCTGATGCAGTCTGCTGGACCTGACCTCGGCCTCCTCCTGACAGCGAGGCGCAAGGCGTCCGGGCTCAGGGCCTCGCGAGTGTGGCCGGCGCCGAAAGCCCGGGCACTGGGAGGAGCGGCCCAGGCTCCGCCCCGAGAGCGCCCGGGAAAAGATGCAGGCCTCAGCTACCCCGCCCGCCCGGGGGTCGCAGTGGCGGCGGCTCCTTCCATTGTGAGGGGGAGGGGAGGCAGCGGAGGCGTGAAGGGTCCGTCCGCACGCTTCGCTCCTTTCTGGTTGCCCCGACTGCCCGACCTCCTTTGGAACAGCTGCCGGCCCTGGTCCCCGCTAGCCCGGGACGGACATCACCCCTTGGTCTGTACCTTCGGAGTCACTGCCCAGTTGCTCCTGCTTCTGCTGCTGAGGTTCCTCCGCCGCCATCTTTAAACAGCGCCGCACTGCTGACCGCTTCCGGGTTACTAATTGCCTTCCTCCCGGAAGTGAGCCCCTCCTCACAGCCCCTCCTTGGCTACGCCCCTAGCAACGGGATACCCTCAGCAGTCGAAAACTGACAAGCGCCCAGCGCTATGGTAGTCACATGCCTGTAGGTCCAAAGTCCTGTGAGAAAAGGGTTCCTTAGCTCGCACTCCACCCCTCACGCTCGCACGGCTCCAAATTCCTAGTTTCCCATAGGTCCTGGTGGTGATAAATACCTCCTGGACCCAATTCTGTTTTCCCTTTCACTGGAGTTTGAAACGCAGGTGGTGCTATTGAGATAAGTAGGAACATTATACCTGCAGTGCAGAACATGGGCCCGGGAGACAGGAAATGGTGTCACCATCCTGACACCCCTCTGAGTCCCGACCTCATCTTTGAGCCTCCTTACACCCCACTCCTGAGGCTTGTGTTCCACGGGAAAAACATCTTTCTTGGTGTCAAGACCAAAGCCTTGGACATAACTTTGTTCTCTGTGTCCTACTAGTGAGAAAACGGAGTCCTTTTAAAAAGCAATGCATTTGGGCTGTAGCTCAGTGGTAGAGCACTCCTGCGTTTGATTCCCCAATACCTCCAAAAGATTAAAAAGACAAAGCCATGAATGTCAAAGATGCTGTTGCGGCCTGGGGTCCCAAGTTCGATCCCTGATACCAAAAATAAAAAAAATAAAAAGATGCTGTTGTTAGTTGCCCTTCTTGTGACCGTGATCCTTCAGAAGCACTCAAGGAGGCTGCGCCTGAGCTCCGTTAAGGTCCCTCAATTGGGAAGGGCAGGCATTGCAACAGGACGAAAGGTTTTGGTTAGTCTCTGCCAGTACTAGAGTATGTGCAGCTGGGCTCCCCACACAGTCTACCTTGGCCTTCTCACACAGCAAAGCTACAAATGCCAACCCTGTGGCCCAGCACCATGACAGTGGACTGTTGAGTCTTAGGGCCTTTGGGTTGGTTGCTTCCAAATTTAAGAAAACTAGGGCTGGGGATTTAGCTCAGTGGGTTCCACCACCTGCCCCAAAATCGCAAGGACTGGAGTTCAATCCCCGGTACCAAAAAAATAAATAAATAAATTTAAGAAAACTAAAAGTCCATCATGTGTGGACCTTATGATTATCAAATGGTTCATTCCTTTCCTCTATTTTAACAGTGAAATCAGTATCTGCTAATGAGATCTGCAATCAGCAGAAGAGAATGGGTATTACCTAGTGAAGGGCAAAAACAGCTAATGACAGGCATGATTTCTATCTGGCTTTTTAAATCTTGAAAAGAGCTATAAGACATCTCCACCCTGGCTCCCTTACCTAGATTAGAGGGTCCATGAGGGGCCAGGGATTTAGCTCAGTGGTGCTGTGACTGCTTTGCAAGCTCAAGGTCCTGAGTTCAATCTCCAGTACCCCAAAAAAGAGTCCATGTGAGGTAGCTGGGGTTGGGACTGTAGGGTCAGAATAGGGAACAGCTGCTATAGAGAGGGAAAGGGCGTCCATGTGTGGCTTTGCTGTCAACATCAAGGAATGGCTCTCCCTCTCTGGGGTTTGACTGACCTGTACCCTCACAGGGCCTGCAAATGGGGTACTCTCCCTTCTACTGCCCAGTGCCCCCCCCCCCCCCCATTTTATCAGGCAGAATAAGAAGGACATGGCCACAGGGAAGCTTTGGCTCTGAATCCAGCTCAAGGAAGACCAACTTTTGCCCAGCTCTTTTCAATACCCATGTATTTATTAGTTAATAACTGCTCTCTTATCCCTAACACGCTTATCTTGTTACATTCTCCATTTTAGGGTTTTGATTCTTTATTCTGAAGCATTTAAAACCAACCTGCAAATTTTCCAAGAGTCAGATTTGCACAGCTCCAGATGTCTCTGCTTCCCAATTTGCCACCCTACACAAATGGTCATGTGCTGCTGGCCCTGGCTATGGAGAGCCTGTAACAAAATAAGCAGCACATGCCAGGCATGGTAGTGCACACCTATAATCCCAGCACTCAGACGGACGTGAGTTCAAGGGCAGCCTGGGCTACCTAGGCCAAACCCAAACTACATAGTGAAACCCTGTCTCAAAAAAAAGGTAGCACAGGTGGGTGGGTTCAGGATGCTTGCTGGTAACAGTCACAAAAATGACAGACAAAAGCCACAGAACTAGGACCAGGGATTTAGCTCAGTGGCACCGTGCCTGCCTCGAAAGCGCAAGGTCCCGAGTTTGGTCCCTGGTACCAAAAAAAAAAAAAAAAGCCATAGAACCAGCAGGTCACAGATGCCTCCTCACATTGTCCTGCTGGCTGGGGGCATACCAGACCCCCACATCCATGTCCACAGGATTCTGTTGGGGCAGGAGAGAGAGAGGGCCCATAGTGGGACCCAGGGCTGTGAGACCTCAGCCACAGAGGAATTTTAGAGAACTGCTGGCTCTGGAACCATCTAGCCACTTCTATCCCTGGAGTGAGGATGCAAGCTGAGTGAACCAAGTTGACAGGGACATGGCATTGACACTGCCACAGCCATACTCCTCACAAGAAGCCATGGCCTCCAAGGGTGGATCAAAGATGCAAGCCAGGGCAGGAGACTTAGCTCAGTGGTTCCGCCACCTGCCTCAAAAACACAAGGTCCTGAGTTCGATCCTCGGTACCAAAAAAACCCGAAAAACAAGATGCAGGCCAAACGTGCTCCTTCCCAGGACAGGCTTGTGAGGAACGTAGGCACCCACAGGGCAGGAATAGGGCATGCCGGCCTTCCAGATGAACCTCTGGAGCTGCTGCTGTTTTACCCACCATGGCCCACAGCCAGTCAGCCATAAAATTGTGTCTAGAGAGGCTTTGGCTGCTGCAGAGGCCAGGCTGACAGAGCTGAGCAAAGAGGTCCCCTGAGGGAGGAAACAAGCAGAGGAGGGGCAAAGGTGACAAAGGGAAACTTCCCCCCAGTAAAAACCCACACACCTTGTTCAGATACCCATGCTCCTGTAAATGACTTACAGTCCATTCACTAGATGTTGCCGAAGGTCCCATCAGTTGGTGCCGGCCACATCCAAGGGCCAATGTATTACTTATCACCAAAATAATAAATCACCACAAACCCAGTGGCTTAAAACACACATTTATTATCTTACAGCTCTGGAGATCAGAAGTCAGGGTTTCACAGTTCAGGTAGGCTGCAGTCCTCTCTGAGGCCCCAAGGGAGAACCTGCTCCATACTCCCCACATCAGCAGAATTCAGTTGTCTACTTCTACAACTGTGGTTTCCATATTCTTGCTGGCTGTAAAGGGAGAGGGCATTTCCACCTTCTAGAAGCCACTACATTCCTTGGCTCATGGCCTAATTCCTCCATCCTCAAAGACAGTGAGGACAAGCCAGGTCCCTGGCAGGTCAGGGCTGGTGATCACACCGGGGCCCCTAAGATAATCCAGGATAATCTCCCACGGCAAGGTCCTTAGCCTTAATCACATCTGCAAGATTGCCTTTGCCAAGTAAGATAACCTCTTCACAAATGCCAGGGATGGGATATATTCTGCCTACCACATTATCTTCATTTTGTAATTCCCAAAATGGAGGCTCAGAGAGAGACTAGAGGGGTCACCTGAGGTCATACCAATGGCTGAGCAACCTCACTCCAAGTCTGCTGACTCCAGGTCCACTGGTGCTAGGGTTACAGTGTGTGCCATCCCAGCAGCCTTCCTGCCCGGCATGCACATCAGGGGACATCCAGCCAGGGGCACAAGATGCTGTTTGGAGCATAAAGCCTTGTTTCTTCTATAGGGAGTTGCTCCAGGCCCTGACTTGGTTAGGGATGAGAACGCCAGTGGAAGGTGACTAGATCTCAGCCCTAGTAACCACATTGAGGACCAAAGAGGATGGTGTTCAAGTGTGACACATCATTGGAACTCTAAGCCCTCCAAGCTTGTCACCCCTACCTCACCCACACATGCTGCCAGGCCTGGTGGATGCAGGAGAAAACACGCTGCAGGAGCAGTGAGGCTTGCTCAATGTTCAGACCAGGGTCTGAAGGACTTGCCTCCAGCCACTGTCACTCATCCCTTTGAGTTCTAGGGACACAAAAATGGGAGATAACTAATCATCCTTGGCAGGGAGGTGGAGTTACCATAGAAACTCAGATAACTCTTCTGCTGCCACATCTCTGTTGTGTGGTAGGCAGCCCCATAGTTCTAGGACCTATGCATAATCTGTGCTCATAGCCAGAGGAAAGCAACCCTAAGCCAGCCTGGGGCCAGGTGGCTCAAAATCTTTTCTCAGAAGTGGAGGCAGGTCCAAGTGCCTATGGCCCACACTCCAGCTCCCCAACACAGTGTATCTCCCCACAGGGAGTCAGGGAGGAAGAGGGGGTGATTCTGCAGTATGAGGAGACAGCACACAAGGCCACTCTGCCTGGAGACAATGCCACTAGAAAGACACATACAGGTGGCAGGTGTAAGCCCCTTGCTCAACATCCCAGCCTGCCCTGGCCCAGCCCTTCAGATGAGCACTTCCTCTCTCTGACCAGCTTCTAATCTGGCATACTTCGTGGTGTTCTCCAACCCCTTTGGACAACAGGCTCAGGCAGCTCCTTCCAAGCCTGGCTCTTCTGAAGCCCTCCAATAAGCCCTGCTCCTTCAGCCTCAGACACAAAGGCTGGTTTAAATAGCCAAGGGGAGGAAGGCTGCCTCTCCCGAACCTCAGAGAAACAGCCATGGGCCAGCCCTAAGCTTGCTGCACCCAGACCCCAGGGTCATCCCTGGATACCACAAGGAAAGGCCAGAAGTGACCAGGGGCACAGCAGGCTCCATCAGCTGCTGGTTCTAGGAAATAGGAGCCAGACAAACGGAGCCTCTGACACCTGGAGCCTAAAGCTGATCACACTCCCCAGTTCCCATCTGCCATCTTACCCACTGTTCCAGGCCCAGGTGTCCTGGCAACCTCGGCTCCTGGGGGAATACTGGACCTATGTCTGTTCGGCAATCAACCAAGTCACTCAGCAAAGACAAAAAGGAAAGGCAAGCTCATGTCACCCTCCAGGGGGTGCTGGTGGGTCAGGGTGTTCTGTTCCTCCCAGACATGGGCTGTCAGGGCTCCAGCTCAGCATGCAATGTTTCACATGTACCAGCACTGCTCAGAAGACCTCCACACCACCCCCAACCCCAACGGCCAACCCGTACAAATCAGAGGAGCTGCAGAGTACCGTCAAGAAGGGGAGGCAAAGCAAGCATGGTAACACGAGCCTGTAATCTCAGCACTCAGGAGACTGAGGCAGGAAAATCCCAAGTTCCAACCTGGCCTGGGCAATTTAGGGACTAAAAAGTAAAAGGGGCTGGGAATGTAGCTTAATGCAAAGGCCCTGGGTTCAATCCTCAGCACCACAGCCAAAAAAGAGGGGGGAAAAAAAAGGGCAAAAACAGCTGGGGAATAGCTCAATGGGGTTGAGTGCTTGCCTAGCATGGATGACGTCCTGAGGTCAATCCCCAGTGCCACCGTTTTTTTTTTTAAAGGCAAGATATTACATACAAAGTACTCCACCTCCTAGTCAGGAAGGTCAGTAAGCACCTAAAACAGCCAACCAGAGAGAACAGGGAAAGCTGCACTGGCCCCATGGGACAGACACTGAGCCATGCAGCGTGGCATAGCCAAGGGAGCTGGAGGATATTGAAAGAAAAGCCACCCAAAGCTGGGTGTGGTGGTACAGTCCTATAATCCCAGCACTTGGGAGGCTGAGCTAGGATTGCCTTGAGTTTGAGGCCAGCCTGAACTGCATAGTGAGACCTTGTCTCAAAACACCAAACAACATAAAAAAAAAAAGGCTACCCCATGTCAACATGGTTTAGTTTTCCAAGAGCTCCAACCCTTTTTATTTTTTGAGACAAGGTCTAAGCTGCCCAAGCTAGGCTCAAACTTTTGATCTTCCTGCCTCAGCCTCCCAAGTAGATGGGATTACAGGTGTGCACCACCATGTGGCTCCAAAACTATTTAAATGCAGGAAGCATGCAAGGAGAGTTAGGCCAAGGCACACACAACCTACCACAGGTGCCGGGACCTTCAGCCAGCCAAGGATTCCTCTCCACTCCTCCAGAATCATCTTTAGCTCACATGTGGAGACGGGAGATCACGCAGGAGGCACAGTGAGTTTCTGAACCAAGGTTTAAATAGACTTTATTGTTACAAGAGGGACCCCACCGAGCAGGGCCAATGTATGTGGTCCCAGATGTCACCATGGAGATATTGAGAGGTCATGATTGCAGAAGAGGTGACTGGAATTGAACAACATGATCAGAGTAGGCCCGCCTGGAATGCTGGAGACATGATCTGGATGGGTTGGGCAGGGTGGTCAGGTTACAGGGAAGGGAGAGGACAGCCCCCTTCACTCCTGCTTCTTGTAGCTCTTCAGGTGTGACAGGACCCAGCCCGATGGCAGAAGGAAACACAGGAAGCAGGTGGTAAGCCCAACGACGACATCCTACACAGAGGACAAGGAAGGATTCCCCTGAGTAAGCATCCCTCAGGAACTCTAAAGTCTGTGTACTTTTCTGGGGAGTGGAAAGCCACCCTCAGGGAGCAAAGATACAAAATCCCCACATTAAAGGAAACCTACATGGTATAGCAGGTGTTTAGCATGGGTAAGCTCTGAGTTACATCTCCAGCACTACAAAAATAAAGAAAACCCACGCTGTAAGGAGGGGACATCATCGAACCAAGGGTCATCTCAGCCTTGATGCAGAAGTCAGTCACAGGGATGAGGATAAGAGCCTGGAAAGAGGGGCAGCCTAGTGTAGGATCCAGGCAGAAATCACATGATAAAGCACTAAAAAGTATTTAAATGTTTTCAAGCTGGTCTGCTGGGACCTGGAAACCTCGAATACGTCAATAACTCTAAAACTGTGTTATCTCCTTTCATCTTAAAATCTCTCCTTCGGAGAAGGTAGTGGGTACACACCTCTAATTCCAACAACTCTGGATGGTGAGGCAGGAAAATAGCAAGCTTAAGGCTAGCCAGGGCAACTTAGCATGACCTTATCAAAAATAAAAAAGGGAGCTGGGCATGATGGAGCACACCTGTAATCCCAGCTCTTGGGAGGCTGAGGCAGGAGTTCAAGGCCAGTCTGGGCTACTTAGTGAGTTCAAGGCAAGACTGCACTACACAGTAAGACCTTGTCTCCAAAACAAAACAAAAAAACCCCATCAAAACAAGCAAACAAAAAAATAAAGGGTTGGAGATGCAGCTCAGTACAAAGGTCCTGGGTTCAACCCCCAGTACTGTAAGTAAGTAAATAAATAAATAAATAAATAAAATTGAAAGCTGGGTGCAGTGGCACATGCTTGTAATCCAGCACTTTGGGAGGCTGAGGCAAGAGGGCTACAAATTCAAGACCCACCACGCATCTTAGCAAGACCCTGACAGAAAATAAAAAATAAAAAAAGGGTTGGGGAGGGCTGGGTATTTAGCTCAGTGGTACTGCGCCTGCCTCGAAAGCGCAAAGTCTCCAGTTCAATCCCCAGTACCAAAAAGGGGGGGGGGTTGGGGAATATAGTTTATACAAAGGCCCCGGGTTCAATCCCCAGTACCAATAATTATTATTATTTTGAAAAAGAGCTAGGGCTATAACTCAACGGCAGAGCACTTGCCTACATGCAGGAGGCCCTAAGTTTAATTCCAAACATAACAAAATCAAAACCAAAACCAAATGGCCTTTCTCCTCCCCCCTCCAGCACTAAAGTCAACCTTTGGAACCAGGGATGACTTTTTACAGCCAATACTATCTTCCCCTCGAGTAGTTAAGATCACAGCAGCCTCAGACCAGGGATTTAGCTCAGTGGTTCTGGCGCCTGCCTCGCTAGTGCAAGAAGCCGAGTTCGATCCCTGGTACCAAAAAAAAAAAAGAAAGAAAAGATCACAGCAGCCTTGCCTTCAAATTCTCTCCTTGCCACTTAAGTGTGCTCCTAAATCTCACCTCCCTCACCACGAAATGGAGATAACCACCCTGTCTCCTCAGGATCACTGAGAGGCCTGAGTGAGACCAGCACAGTCTTCTTAGCAAGGTGCCTGGCACCCAGCAGGTACTTGCAAAGTAGGTGGAAATGGTCGTGGTTATCATTAGGTTTCTGGCTTTGCAATGCTGGGGATCAAATCCAGGGTGTCATGTAAACAAAGCATGTACTTTACTCCCTGAGCTGCTTTTTGGCTTTGGTTTTGTTGTTTCTGTACTGCTGGGAACTGAATCCTGGGCCTCCCATTTGCCTAAGAAAAGGACCTACCACTAAGCTACACTTGGACCTTTTTTTTCGGTGGCACTGGGTATTGAACCCCGGAGCCATCACACTGAGCTCCATCCTAGGCCTTTTTATTTTTTGAGACAGAGCTCTCAATAAGTTGTCCAGGCTGGTCTCTCAAACTTGTAAGCCTCCTGCCTCAGCCTCTTGAATAACTGGGATTACAATACCAGTCTCGGTCTCCTTCCTAGCTGGGCAAACAGGCAGGTACTACGCCTGGCTTGATTATCATTGTTTCCTTAATCACAGTGCTCTCTGGCTCTGCTCCTAACCCAAGGCCCACGAACCTGGATTCTGAAGATTCGCATTCAAGGTCAAGCTCTGCCACTGAGGCAGATGTATAAAAGCTCCAACTAGGTGAGAGTTGTCATCAAAAGCTAAACGCTCCTCCATTTCTGGGAATCACAAGGACCTGTGGGGTCTTCTTGGCCCCTCCCTACTAATACTAAGCAGCGGTAAGCACCATCCTCCTCGCCGACCATTGTCAGACATCCCCCAGTGAAGGGTGAGCCACAAGGCAGGGAGGGCTAATGTGGCCTGCTCGAGGCCTCACGGCGAGTAAACGTGCCACCGGAATCTTGGGGCTTTGGGGACGGATGCAACGCTGTCCCCTGGTCCGCGCCCTCCAGAAAGGCCCAAAGCAGAATCGCTGCCCCCGCTACGCTGAGTGTCCGGAGGTGCAAGTTGCTCTCAGGGCCGTCCAAAGTCCGGCGCGACGCCCTTCCCGGCCCGGTCCTCACCATGGTCCCGAGCTGCTCCCGCGGTGGCTTGGAATGGATCTGGGCACGCGGCACGGGGAGCCTCCGGGCCGGGCCTGTCAGACCCCTCAGCAGCCCCGGCGTCAAGAACGACATGACTGCACGAACCAGACCACCAACTACGGCCAGACTGAACCCAAGGTCAGAAAGGAAAGATGGCTGCGTCCGCCGGAAGTCCCCGAGCTGAGCAGACCTGGAAACTACGGCGCGGAGGTCTCGGAAATGACGCAAGGATACGTCTTTGCCCCGCCCCTGTCTGGTTATGGCGCGTTCTTCAAGATAGCAAATCGAAGCCGTCCTACCTCCCCCTCCCATGAGCTGAGTACAGAGGAGCGATCTTTTGCTTATGTCCCGCCTTCAAGAGGTCTCGTGACATCTATGTCCACCCAATCACATAAGTGTAAGGGTTGTCCTTGCCTCCATTCATACTCTTAAACTCCTCCTAGATCTACCAGTCCTTCCGTCGTTTCTGGCCTGAACTGTTGGGTCTTAACCTCATAACTTAACTCCTTTCACCTGTTAAACCCTCTCCAATTCCGGTTCCCATGTTTGGCAGCCAATTTCCGTTTCTCTTTCCCTGCTTTCTTCTTTTTTTTTTTTTTTGGTACTGGGGATCGAACTCGGAACCCTGCGCTTGCGAGGCAAGCGCTAAACCCCCAGCCTTGTTTTGTTTTTTTGAGACAAGGTCTCGCTTTGCGGTCCAGACTGGCCTTGAACTCAGGGTTATCTTCCTGCCTTGCCTCTTGAGTGCTGGCGTGTGCCAGCATGCCCAGCTTTTTCCTATCCTCCTTTATCCATCTCTCCCTCCATCCCATCTTGCTTTTCTAACCACGTCTGATCTAATTAGTCATACACTTTCAGTGGCTCCCCTTTGCTTTATACGTAAGTTCCAATTCCTGGATATCACTCTCCAGCTGGAAATGGAGGGAACAGCTCTAAAAAGCTGGGTGATCTGCTCAAGGTCATGTACCCAACGACTGCCAAACTGATTCCAGGGCAAGACTGCCCCCAAAACTTATTTTCTTTCAGGGCTAGGGATCAACCCCTGGGCCTCCAGAACTCTAGGCAAGTGCTCTACCACTGAAGTATGCTCCAGCCTAATATCCATGCTTTCAACCACCACTCAAGATGTTTCCAGAAGCTCCAGTTTTTGCTTTTTGAGACAGGGTTTCGCTATGTACAGTAGTTCAGGCTGGCCTCGAACTCATGGCAACCCTCCTGCCTCAGCCTCACAAGTGCTGGGATTACAGGTATGTACACCACCACCCCTGGCCAGAAGCTCCAGTTTGACACTGAAGTCAAAGACTGCGGCACAGAGGGATGTGTGCTGGCAACAGATTGGGAAATAAGAGCTTTGACAGGGAAACTTCAGCCCCTGAGGGCTAAGATCACAGAAAGGTTGACATGTACCCGGCTGGTTGCCGGAAGGGGAGCTATGCCTCAGCTTCCTCTGGAGAGATGTTCCCAAGCCTCAAGCTCACCTGGGTTCCTCTTCACCCCTGTCCCACCTTTCTGCCCCATTTGGAAGTTTTTGGTTTTTTGGATTTTTTCTGGTATCAGGATCGAACTTGGGTCCTTGTGCTTGCGGGGCAGGTGGCAGAATCATTGAGCTAAATCTCCGGCCCTGCAAGTATTTTTGACGTCTAGCAGTCTTAACAAGGCCTACCCTCAGCCACCAGGCCCCGTGCCTTTGTTGTCCTGGACCCTGGCAAACAGCCCAGAACAGATGCATCTAATGCTCCCCCCATCCTTAGGGGCACAGTACTGGGAAGCAGGTGCCAGCTGCCTGCCACTGGGAGAAGGGGCGAGGACCTGCTGCTACCCTCCTGGGCTTGTCTGGTGCCTTGAAATAAAAATCACTCCCAGGAGAGAGCAAGTTAGGCAACTGGCTTGGGTATACTTTAGAAAGAATTCCTTGGGGAATTTACTTTTGGCCCAGAAGGGTTCAGATCACAGGGAAAAGATCTAAATCTAACATTGACTGGCCAGGCGACCTTGAGAATATCTGTTTCCCTATCTGGGCCTTATCTTTACCTATATGCAAAATGAGAGTATTAATGAAAAGTCCAGCAGGAGAAACTGGAGGAAAGCACTGGTTTCAATGGAAGAAAAGAGCTGGTTTGGGAATTGGGCATGGTGGCACTCTCCTATAATTCCAGCACATGGGGAGGCTGAAGCAAGAGGGTCCCAAGTTCAAGCTCAGCCTGAGCAACATAGTGAGACCTTGTCTCAACTAAAAAATAAAAGGGGGGTTGGCTGGGGATGTTACTCAGTGTGAAGGCCCTGCATTCCATCCCCAGTACCACACACACACACGCACAAACACACAAAGGTTGGTTTGGGAAACAAGTGGGCACAGAACGCAGGATCCTGGAAGGATCCCAGGGCACAGCAGCTGTTGACAGGCACCCAGGGGTAACCAGGAGGCAGCTGTCAGGGGAAGAGCAACATGGGAGGTGTTAGGACAGGGGGTGGGTGAGGTGCTGTGTCCATGGCCCAGCTGTCAGCCACAGGAGGGAATGGCATGGCCACTTGGGACTTAAAAGTGGGGGCTGGCGCCCACCCACTGAGTCTTCAGTGGTTAACCCCTTCCAGCCCACAACCAGCTGCCAGCTGCTATGAGGACAAGATCGTGTCAGATGAAACAATGGTTCCCCGATGAAGGCTGGCCCCCAGCTACACCCCCACTTGGGTGTGACAACACATCCCGACCTTTCTCCCTTCTGGGCCCTCAGCCTCAATACAAGTCCAATTCCTGACGACCTCTCTCTGCCTCTGGACCTCTGACCTCTTTGGATCCCCCAGTCCAGGGCAGTCCTATTTTTACACAGGCTCTTGCTACACAGTCCAAACTGGCCTTGAACTCACTACGTAGCCCAGGATGTCCTCAAACTCCTGAGCCTCCTGAGTGCTGTTACAGATGTGCACCTCTATGGCCAGCTCTCCACTCCTCATTGTTCCTGGAGACCCGATCTTCTTACCACCAGACTCAGAAGCCCTAATGCTATGTAGCTGTATACCCCACCCAGCCCTGGACCAACATGTACTCCTCTACACAGACTCCACCTTTCCCTACACCTTGAGGCCAACATTTAGGACATGGGGCCATCACATAAGTTACTCCAACTCCCAGGTCTTAAGGTCCTGTGTAACCCACCCAACAGGCACTTCCGAGACTACAGGACAGCACTCACAAGTCCTGCCTCATGGGCTACGTGCCACCCCACACCACTCAGCACATGGACCCAGAGGTGGAGACATTAGTGTGGCTACTCTTGTTACAACTGGTAAAAGGGGGCCAGACAGGTCAGACTATCCCTCAAAGTAACTCTGCAACAGTACCCACTTCTGCCAGAGCAGGACTGTGGCAGTGCAGGACCTGGGAACCCCCCTTCTCCCCATTCCCAGATCCTGGAGACAATCCCCCAGGGCCACTGCAGCCAGCTCCAGGTCTGTCAGGACTTGGCTCCTGGTTGTCACTTCTCCATCTAGTAGCAAACACTATCCTTCAGGAGGTTGAGGCCCTCGTCAACCTGGTCCATTCCTCAGGGTTTTTTCCCTCCACTCACCTTTAGAGCTGTCCCGTGCCGTAATGCTCTGGTCCACAGCAAATCTTCCTTCATCTTAATGTAATCAAGACCCCACGGCAGATATTCCTGAAGCCAACACAGGTTTACAGGTTCCTCTAAACCACTTATGCACAGACAGAATCTAGAAATCTCAATGGACTTCACAGCAACCAACATCATCCTGTCGAGGGCACACTCATGTAGCCTGCACTGCCAGCTCTCAAACCTGGCTCCTAGCACTGTGGAGATGAGGGTGCTGCCTCTGTTGGGAAGGGACTTTGGTCAGGCAACTGCTGTCTTACCCATCTCCTGAACAGCAAGTTATTTAAAATGGGGACCCCTCCTACCTTAGTTCAAATCTTGGCTCTGCCACTCACTACCAAGACTTTCCCCTCTTAGCTTTACAGTGAGAGCACCTATACCCATGGGACAGGCAAGTTAGCATTCCAGAGCCTAGTACAGAACACACCAATCATGTGAGCCACTACTGTTCTGAGACAAAGCCTCACTATGTAGCTGAGGCTGACGTCAGACTCATGATCCTCCTGCTTCAGCCTCTCAAGGAGAGCTGGGACAACAGGTGTTTGCCACCACACCCAACGAGTCTTTTTTAAGAGTCAAAGAATATTATGAAATAAACCCAAGCGAACAGAAGAAACTCATCTATTCAATTCCCACATGGGCACTGGAGTTTATATTTAGCTGCAGACATCAAATGTCACAATGCCTGGCTTGGGACTTGTTTCAGGATGCAAAGCAGAGGCCCCTCAGAAGAACATCTATGACCTCTACCCTTAACTTCTGGGAAATATCCACAAACACATACACTGGGTCTGTATCCCATCTCTGGCTGCTCACCTCACATCCTAAGACTTACTTCACAAGGGGTGTGAGGCCACCATAGCCACTGCCTCTCTGCCTTCAGTGTAAGCCTAAAGTACCCATGGTACCCCAGCTGCTGAACAAAGTGTCTTTTATTTATGTTGTACAAATACAACCAATCCAAAAAGAGATCACCTTTTCCCTTTGATTCCAATGAGTGGTTGAAGAAAAAAATATGTGTATCTCAAGAAATTTATCTTCCAAATTTTCTCTTGGGGAGGAGGGTGTTAAAAAGAACCATACACATGTCATATATGCACTTTTTTTTTTTCAAGTTTTTTGAGACAGGGTCTCACTGTGTAGTTCAGGTTGGCCTTGAACTCACTATGAAACCCAGGCTGGCCTCAAACTTGCAGCAATGCTACCTCAGCCTCTGGAGTCCTGGGATTACAGGCACATGCCACCATACCTAGCCAGTCATAGACACACTTGACACCAACAAAAAAACTTGAAATAGGAAGAATACAACTAGGAAACAAAATCTTAAATTTTTTTCTTAACATGCCCCAAACAAAAAACAACAAAAAAGTCTGGTATAAAAAGTCTTTTCCCAGAGGAGGTGGAGGAAGATTGATGTTTGACACATTAGTAGGCTCAAGAGCCACAAGAGTGGCCGGCTGGTCTCAATCAGCACTCCTCCTACCAAGCTGTGACCTCCTGAGAAGCTCTTCAGGGAAGGTAGCCTGCAAAGGCTGGGGGAACAAGGCATGCCACCCAGTAGCCCATCTATCAATGGGCTTGGTGCTAGGTGTCCAACGACTGTAAAAAGAAAACACACACTGAACTCATGTTACATAGGATTTACACAGGGTTCCTTTTGGTCCCCTTGAGTGGGAGGTATCAGAAATCCATGATCTAAGACAATAAATATTTATCATTCTTGTGTTGAGACAGGGATTAGAGGAAAAGCTCTTCTAAACATTCGTCTTGTTGTTTCATGATTCTTGGAAGGAGTCTACCAATCTCCTCCCAGCAACTCCAACTCTCATCAAGGGTAAAAACCCTGGCGCCAACAGGTGAGGCAAAGTTAAAACTTATTCCAGTGTAAAGCTGTAAGGCTCTCTCCAAGAAGTGCCCAAGCCCACTGCTGGTAGACTCAAGAGCAACGCAGGGTGCTCAGTGGGGGTCAGACTGGATAAGAGAGGCTCCTGCACAGGCAGGAATCTAGGTGAAAAACAAGGACGACTCTGGAGAGCTCTGCCAGGACAAACTGCCTGAGTTGGGCCAGAGGGTGAGGGTGAGCAGGCTCTGAGGTTGGGTCACGGACAGACCCCATGACAGCAACTGCACAAAGGCTAGAATCTTAACAGTCCCTGAAGCAGAGCTCAGGGATGTCCAAGGGGAAGTGTTAGGTACTTTCACCTAGATAAGGATTTAGTTTTTCGTCCTTGAAAGAGGAACAAGGCCTAGAGATCAGGATGAGAATAAGTTCTGAGCCCACACCCTCTTTACTCTCTGAAAGGAGAAAGCCCATCTCCTCCCCCTGCTCCAGCCTGCTGCCACAGGGTGATACCAGAGAGAGAACAGCAGCTGTTTGGGCCACTAACAGGCATTCTTGCTCAAGCCTGAGCTGTGGCCCAAATGGGCCAGGACAGTGGCACCAGTGCCTCATTGAGGCTGCAAAGGGCAAGGCTAGGGAGTGCAGGCAGAGAAGCCTGCTGCTGGCTGGGGGTTCTCTAAAGAGGGTGGTAGGAGGGTCACCTCACCTTCAGAGAACTATCAGCACCAAAAAAGTGAGAGAAAATGGCATAACTGTACCAGGAACAATGGGTCCTCCAGAGGAAGAGGGCTTCCCTGATGTTACTCCCCCCCCTGAGACTAAGAACAGAGGTATCTGGAGTGAAACCAAGAGGCTGGGGAGAAAGAGTGGTGGGGTCAACAGAGAGGAAAAGACAGGACCTCTGGCTTTCTTCTGGAGTGAAAAGCTCAAGTCACTGCCATGAGATCCAGAGGTTAAGCTGAGAATGCAGCAAAGTCCAAATGCCCAGAGAAGCAGTCATCCCCACTATAAGTCCCTTAGCACACCTGTTCCTGGTCCTCTCTCACTGATAGCAGTGGAGACAGCCCTTCCCCCCAGAGTTGGCTAGTCCCCTGAGATGACTCCACTCTATGGATCCATAAAAACACAGCTAGAAAGACCTTCTCTGTATCCTGGCATCAAAGGCCTACATGGTCTCCATGACAGTACTCCATCCATGAGAGTGAGTTTCTTCAAAGCCTTGCTCTATGCCCAGATCTTAAGAGTCTAATCCTCTTTGGGAACCAAGAGAGCACAGATCACAACTCCAGGACTTTGACAAAAGTGGATATAAACATTCCATTTGTCCAAGGCGGAGGTGGGGGAGCCTGTTGGGAATCCAGCTGCAGAGAATTTGAGGAACTTTCACTTGAGGGCCCAAGGGCCAAGTGAGGAGACAGTTCCTGTGAGGATGAGCTTCATGGTGCAGCCTCCATCAACTCTTCTTGTAGCACCCTCTTCTCTGTACTCATTCCTGATATGCTGCTCTTCCAGGAAAGAGAAGGGGTGGTGTAGACCACTCCTCCCCAGGATTCTGAGCTCTCAGGATGCCACCTGGCACATGCAAGGCTAAGAAGACCATAGCTCTGAGAGCACCTGGCAGGTAATGTGAAACCAGAGTAGAGGACAGGCCTTAGGAGAGAGTTCTGACTTGCAAATGGCTTTAAGAGTTCAGTGGCAGCAGCCACCACAGTGCCCGCCCGCATGGGAGTGCTGGCTGTCTCCAAACTTGGTCTTCCGGCTCAGGATCTCGTAGGAGCAGTCCTCCCCACAGCAACCAGACATGCTGGGGGAAGAGTCATCAATTTCAAATCTGCAAGGCAGGCAGGAGAAAAGGGTTGGTCACAGGCAGCTGAATGCTTTCCTGATGGTCTGAAAACTTTTCCAATAGCTATACTGATGGGATGAAGGCAAGGGAACCAAGTTAGAGGACACTGCCATACCATCTCACCAATCCCAAATCCCCATGGAACACTGGACTGTGAGCTCAGGTACCAAGATGAGTGAGGGTCAGGACCAGGAAAGGGCAGCACCTCCTACCACCCGGAAAAACCACACCAGAGATCAGCTCCTTACTGTAGCGCTTCTCGGAAGAACTGATAGGCACCATGATTGTGCTTAAATACTGTTAACATCACCTTCTTCATCTGGGTGCTGGAAGAAACCAGAGTGAGCATCTTTTAGAAAGAGAAACAGAATGAGGCTATGTGTCCTTTCCCTCGTATCTCTGCCACTACCTCTCATTCACCTCAAGTGGTGTCCCCAAGTCCCTCCTCCAGCCTGCAGAGGTCTTAGGCACCAAACTGCTCAGTGCTTCCCACCATCATAGGCTATAGCCTATGTCTGAATGCATGTGCATCAGGGATCTTCTCCACCTCCTCTCTGCAGCCCCTTCACTTAGGCACAGTGGATTCCTCAGAGGCAACTCCCTGTGACTGAGCACTGCATGCACAAGGCCTGAAGCTGCCCTTACCTGTTGGCCATGAGCTGCAGGATCTGTATGAGGAACTTCCCCAGGCCTTTCCGCCGCACTTTGCTTTCCAACTGCACTTCATAACTGGGTAAGAAAGTAGAAGAGTGAGAGCGCAGGGTGAGGCACAGAGAGGCTTCAAAGCCCAGCAGAGTAGACTGCAGCCTCTGGCGGCCCAAAGACCCAGACAGCCACAGTGGGCTATCATCTGTTTTCCCTCCCCTTCAGCTCATCCCAAGCCAAGGCTCCTACCAGTAGAGGACTTCATCCCCGCACTCCACATCAAACCGGAAGTGAGAAAAGGCAACAGGGACACAACTGTTTTCCCAAGCGATAAGGTACCAAGCTCGATCATCTGTCATTTCCTCTCGTTTCTCTCGGTCTTTCCAGCCCCACTCACTTTGCTCATACCTGGGGAATTCAAGGGCAGTCAGAACAGGGAAACCTCAAAGGGCTGAAAAGCCAGCTGGTGAACCAGGCTCCCTCTGCTCTTTTTCCCCTTTGGACAAGCCATGCTTACATGCTTTGCATATTCATTTTGGTCAGGTCAAAGGCCCAATCCACAGTGGCTGGCTCCAATCCAGATACTCGCTTACATTCAATGGAGACATTCAACCTAAGAAGAGGACAGGGAGGCAAAAGAAGCAGGTGGTGTGCCCAGGATTTAGCTCAGTGGCGCTGTGCCTGCCTGGCAAATGAAAGGTCCTGAGTTTAATCCCCGGTACCCCACCCCCACCCCGGGCCTGAAAAAGAAAACAAAACCTGCTAGGTGACCTCAGGCTTTTTAAGACTACAGCCCAGGAAAAAAAAAAAAAAGACTACAGCTCAGGGATGGGGGTATAGGTCAGTGGTAGAGTATTCAGCATGCACAAAGTCCTGGGTTCAATCCCCAGTACTACCAAAAAAAATGCAAAAAATAAATAAATACAAACCTGGGCATGATGGTACACAATTATAATCCCAGCAATTGGGAGGCTAAGGCAGGAGGATCACTAGTTCAAGGTCACCCTGAACTACATATCAAGACTCTGTCTCAAAAAAAAATCCAAAGGTGAGGGATTTAGCTCAATGGTTCCAGCGCCTGCCTCACAAGTGCAAGGTCGCAAGTTTGATCCCCGGTATAAAACAAAACAAAACAAAACCCAAAAACCAAAACAAAACAAAAAAGAGAAAAGAAAAAAGAAAGCAAGCCAAAAACAAACAAGCAAACAAAAAAATATCCACATATCAATCTCCCCAGAAGTTCCACCTTCCTCTTCCTCTCAGGACTCAATGGGTACTCTAAGCTCATTAAAAAAGGTGGAACAGGGAATAACCCTCCATTGTTTTCCTGAACAAATGTCATAGATATTTAGGCATCTGTTTCCAAAGGGAAGTTAAGTGAGATACAGTTAAACTCACAGGCCAATTTGTGAAATGATTCTCTAAGTAGTACCACATTCAGAAAGGAGTGAAGTCAGCAAATGCTGAGCCTTTGATGAGCTCCCATATCTTTTAGTGGCCTTTGATGTCACCCTTATAGGATATTTCCAGTGGAATCTGCTGTCACCTCTGCTGACTGGCACACCATTCAATTTCATTCTTATAAATGGAAAATTTCCTGCCCCGGAAGAACCTGTCTTTACAAGCACCAAGCACCTGGCAAGCAGAACTGTCCAAATACAGGACTGTATCTATCTCAGCTATAAAAGGTCCAAAGGCTGATCTATAGGTACAATTTCTCCACTCATTTATGTTCTTTAAGTATGTAAAAGTAGAATCACAGCCTCAAGAATCAAGAAAAAGGCGTAGAAGGAGCCCAGCTGACTGGTAAGGGCTGCTTCTGAGCTTTCCCATGTATCTGGGAGTCAGAAGGAATGTAACTCATGGAAATACTAAGAGAGATCACAGGAGGGGATCTCTAAGCCATGTGAAAGAACTTTCCAGAAGTTGAATGACAAATCTACGACAGTAACTGTAGCATGTATGATCACAGACAGAAAGACGTAAGTGAATGTGATATAAAATTCAGACTCATACCAAAAATAATTAATTAAATAAAATTCAGACTCAGTTATTAAACACAAATGAAGCACTATGTTTTATACTTCACATATCTGTATTTTTCTATCTTACTCATTAAAATATTCACATCAGCTGCTACTTTCTGTACTGGATATATTCTCTTTCTTCCTTAAAACTGCAAATCTGGGCCAGGGATTTAGCTCAGTGGCACCGTGCCTTCCTTGCGAGCTCAAGGTTCTGAGTTCCATCCCCGGTACCAAAAAAAAAAAAAAATTGAAAAGTTAAAACTGCAAATCTGGAACTGGGGATTTAGCTCAGTGGCGTTGTGCCAGCCTTGCCAAGTGCAAGGTCCTGAGCTCAATCCCTGTACAAAAAAAACACAACAAACCTGCAAATCTGTGCCAGGCATGGTGTGCACATCTGTAATCCTAGCACTCTAGGAAGCTAAAGCAAAAAGATCCCAAAACCCAATATCAAAATAAAAATTAATTTAAAAAAAGATCTGAGCTGGGCATAGTGGCCTATCTCTGTAATCCCAGAACTTGGGAGGCTGAAGTAGGAGGATTGTTGCAAGTTCAAGGCGAGCCTAGGATAGAAAGTGAGTTCAAGACCAGTCTGAACTACAGAGCAAAACCCTATCTCAAAAAACTCAAAAAAAGGGAACTGATCTGGGATGTAGCTCTGTGCAAAGGACCTGGTTTTAATCCCTAGTACCAAAAACAAAAGAAAACAAAACCCTCAATTACAAGTCTGGCATTAACCCCTCCACCCCAGCTCAGTACTGGGGATTAAACCCAAGACCTTCATACTGAGCTACATCCCCAGATTAATCAATCGACTGACCTATTGATCTATCTTTCTTTTCTTTTATTTCTTGAGACAGAGTCTTACTATGTAGTCCAGGCTGGCCTTGAACTAACTATATAGCCCAGGCTGGCCTTCAACATGTAGCAATCCTCCTGCATCAGCCTCCCCAAGTGCTGGGACTACAGGTGTGCACCACCACAGCTGGTCTCATCATCATACCTTATGGATGAGAAAATTACACTTAGCCAGGCACAGTGGTGCAAGTGCAGGAACACTGAAAGTTCAAGGCCAGCTTGGACATCTCAGTGAGTCTCTGTCTCAAAATAAAAAAGGGCTGGGTAGTATATCACTTCACTAGCATGTACACAGCCCTGGGTTCAATCCTCAGTACTAAGTTTGGTGTGGTGGTGCACACCTGTAATCCTGGCACTCAGGAGGCTGAAGTAGGAGGACTGCTGCCAGTTCAAGGCCAGCCTGGGATATATAGGGAGTTTGAGGCCAACGTGGACTATACAGTGAGACCCCACCTCAAAACAAACAAACAAGGCCAGGAATTTAGCTCAGTGGTTCCGGAGCCTGCCTCGAAACCACAAGGTCCCAAGTTATATCCCTGGTACCAAAATAAACAAACAAACAAAAATAAAACAGAACAAAATATCCCCAGCACCACACACAAAAATGAAAAGAAAATGAGGTTTAAGGAATGTGAATAATTTATCCAAGTAGAGTTAATATGAGGCCCAACAGCAATTCAATTTATAATCCAGAGAAGCCATAAGCCCTGTATTTCTCCAAGCTAAAATGTTACATCACAGAAACTCCATTCAGGTAACACAGAATATGCTTCATACTTTATAAACCAACAGAACAAAAAAGGAGAGAGGTTTTTTTTTTTTGGTACGGGATCAAACTCAGGACCTTGCGCTTTTAGCAGGCGCCAGAACCACTGAGGTTAATCCCCAGCCCGAGAATTTTAATCCAGATGCTATGGTAAACTGGATCAGTAATTGTCAAAGCTATTATTTATGTCTAGCTTTCAATATGCTCCAGGAACATGAGCTCAACGTGGTGATGCACACCTGAAGGCTGGGATTATAGATGTGCATCACCTGCCAGAGATTCTGCTTTTTTCATAATAAAGTAGGAGAAAATTTGGGTTTGAGGAAGTCCACTCTTGAAAAGTAAGTTTCTGGGGACACTGAAGGGGACAAGCGTTAAGAATGCTTAATACAGCACTCGGGAGTCTAGGGTAGGAGGATCACAAGGTCAAGGCTGGCCTGGACTACGTATAGAGACCCTGTTTCAAAACACTGAGAAAAAAAATAAAGAACTTTCAATATGACTCACCCATTCCTGTCATATTTCTTGAATACTGGGAAAGCCTCCAGAGGGTCTCCAAGCTGGGGAAAGAAAAAGAAGAGTAATACAGACAGGTGAGCAGAAGTTTTGGCTCTGCCCAAGAGCCCTGATGTCTAGGAACAGGACGCTGTAAGGACGCACGACAAGAGGCCCCAGAAACAGCCCTCACAGGGCCCACCATCTGCCTCAGCTCTGAAATCACAGACGTGGGAGGCTTTAGAGGAGGTCCAAGAGAGTTAAGTTTAGCTTCATTTGATGGGGTGAGAACAGATTTTACCAGTCTATGGGCACAATACCTGCTCACAATGCAGCTAACCCAAAGAGGCTACATGGTCCCTTTGAGCATTTCTGGGAAGAAGCCTTCAACTAGTTTCACCTGCTCAAAACCTCAACAGAAAATCATATCCCTGAGCTGCGTCTTTATAGATGAGGAGCATTTACTATGAGTGAACTAAAAGAATAATGAAAAGTGAGATAAGGAATGAGGGCAGGAAGGATGGCTAGAATTTCTCAGGTTCAGTTTGAAAGCCAAGGCCCCAGGCTGCTCCCAGTTCACCTATCTGGTGTCAATTCACAGCTACTCCATCCTTGACTACAATCCTTGAGACCAGGCCATGATATCCCTTCATTTCCAGCACTGCTTTCAGTATTTCATGGGCAATCTATAAATGTCTGAAGGAATGAAAGAAAACTATTCACGTTTTGTGAGAGGTTTCCTCCCCAAAATGAAAACCCTTAACAAAAATGTCTCCGTGCTCTCTATTATCAGTAAGAGAAACAGCCACTTGTGCTGGAATCCACATTACCCTAAACACCTAGGTGAATAGCTGGCACCTCCTCCCAACTTATCCTCAGCTGTAAGCAGCAAGAGGCCTGGGTAGGCAGTGTCGCAATTCTGCCACAGGGTGGAGCCAAAAGAAATCAAATTAAAAACCAAGTTGAGATTGCAAGAAGCAGAGACTGGAAAGCAGAGTCACCCTGTTGGCAGCATCCACTTTGGCACAGACGGCGTCCATGGCTGCACGTTCTTCCAAACGCTTCTGCTTCTTCTCCTTTGCTTTGCTTGACTTTCTCTGCAATAGGGAAAAATAACACTGGCTGGAAGGGCTCTGGTCTACCAAAGTCTTGACTTTCCCTTTGAGGAACTGAGGAGGCCCAGCATCCAAAGGCCTGACCCATCCAGGCTGCCACACATACAGTGTGTGAACTATGCAGGGACACTGTTTCCTGTGTTATGAGCCTTCCTGAGTCTCACTAGATTTCTCAGCTTTCTTTCAGGAAGAATACTAATCCTGGGGCTGGGGATTTAGCTCAGTGGTGCCACACCAGCCTTGCAAGTGCCAAGGTCCTGAGTTTGATGCCTGGTACCAAAAGAAAAAAAATAAATTAATCCTGCTGACCCCAGGTCACCAGGAGGACCCAGGTGGAGATCTGACAATGCCCACAGGAGACCTGGTCTCCAGCAGTGACGAATATTTACTCATTTTCCCCTTCATAAAGAGGAAACATCCAATTTCAAACTCATCTAGGGCAGTTTTCAGGGAGATGATGATGGCATCTGAGATAGCCACTAACAGTTGTTCCTAAGTCTTTTGTGTAGCTTCTAGCTACAAGAGATAAAAAGATCTGGTCAAGGGCAACCCTGTGGGATCTGAGTCCCATTTCCAAACAAGAACCAGGGTGCTCTGGCTTAAGGGTACAGAGCCATTTCCCCAGAAGTCCTGTTTAGCCAAGGGTAACAAATGGCAGGCACACCATGCCCTTAGCAACAAAAGCAGAGGAAAGGGCCCCAAGGGGTTCACCTTAGTCCACAGGCAACGCTGCCACATGGTCAACAAGACCAAGCTCCAGGCACACAAGCAGCAGGGGTGGGCCAAAAGGAGACTTCCTGCACTGAGGGGCAAAACAGCAAGTCGCCCACAACTGCACCTAGATCACATGCTGTTTTGAGGCTAATGTGAGGTTCTCTCAAGCCTAAACAGATCCTCTTACCCTCTGGTAAAAAGCTAGGTAACAGGGGTTCTGAGTTCGATCCCCAGTACCAAAAAAAAGCTAGGTAACAGTGAAAGAGCCAGGCCCTGGAATCTGACTGACCTCATCCAAACCCTTTCTGCTCTCCACTCTCTGCAGGTCCCAGGACAGAACAGCCTTCTCTTAGCCTCCTTCCCTGACTGCAAGCAAGGGTCCTAATCCCTCTAGAGTGGTATTAACCCTGAGAGGCTCATACAACAGGTGCTCAATAAATGACAGTTCTCATTCTAACTCCCAAGGAGGAACAGGCAGGCAAAGGTGCTGGCCTACCTAGCCCAAGCCTCCCAAGGTCCTGTTTTTGCCAATAGTAAGGCCTCCTGTGATTCCCCTGCCCTCTTCTCCAGGGGCTCATTGGAGAGAAGTCTAACAACTCCCAATTACAGTTTTGCTTTGCCCTGACACTGGCCCCAGGAAAGAGTATGCAGAGCAATTAACATTCACATGAGTTGAAAACCCAGCTGCTGGGAAAGTTTCTCAGGAAAAATTCTACTGTCAATTTCTTTTTTTCCTTTCTTTCTTTTTTTTTTTTGTACTGGAGTTTGAACCCTGGGCCTTCCCACTGAGCTACATCCTCAGTTCTTTTAAATTATGAGACAGGGTTTCACTAAGTTTCTAAATTTGCCCAGGCTAAGCTCAAACTTAGGATTCTCCTGCCTCAGTCTCCCAGAGTACTGGGATTAGACAGGTGTGTGCACCACCATGCCAGCCTGCCCTTGATTTTCTAAGGAACGACACTTTAATTCTTACTTCACACTTGATCTTAGCCAAAAGGCCAAGAAGCAGTTTTTGTTTTTGTTTTTGTTTTTTTTGGTACCGGGGATCAAACTCAGGTCCTTGCGCTTGCAGGGCAGGCGGTGGAACCACTGAGCTAAATCCCCAGCCAAGAAGCATTTTTAATTCTTATTTCAAATAACTAGGAGGCAAAACAGAGTTCAGATACCAGAACTCACAGGGACTGCTCTTACAGGCACAAACTCTATGAGGAACAGCTAATAACTATCTTTTGGCTGCGTGACATGCTTACTAGAGGAAGGGACAAAAAGAAGAGAATAGATGGTCTTTACAAGGCAGCACTCTGGGGAAAGAATCACCCTCTCTCTACGACCATTAGGATTTTTGGGTTTTTTTGGTACCGGGGATTGAATTTGGGACCTTGCACTTGTGAGGCAGGCGGAACCACTGAGCTAAATCCCTGGCCCACCATTAGGTTTTATAGCATCCATTTTTCCTCTGGGAATTCAGGTCAACACTGAGACATTCACAGCTTGTAAAGTACTTTCACAAACGTGTTCAATTCTCAGGGTAGAAACCATTACCTCTCTTTCACACATTAGGAAACTGAGGCTCAAAGGGATGATATGACCCGCGCAGAGTTCCCAAGACAGTAATTGGCTGCAGGAAGACTCTACCTTAGGGGCTGGATCACAAATCCAGTGTTTGTTCCACAGCCCTGCTGTCTCCCAGTGGGAGAATCCACATGTAGTGGGGCAATTTTTTTCACTCTGTCTTTCAACAAAGACCTTCTCACATCCTGCCAAAATAAGGTCAAGGGCCTCAGAAGCTCTTACACAACCTCTTAGCAACTCACTTCTCAGTGCCCATCTACCTACTAATGGCTTGCCAACACAGTGCCACTCACCCCAGCCCCTACCTTTTGCACTGAGGCAGAGGTAGGGAAAAAGGAAACCCTGCAGAGAAAGTCTCCAGGGCTGGATGATGAGGCAGAAAGAGCAAGGACTTTGGCATCAACCAGACCCCTCCTGCCGCTCTAGCATGACTTGTGAAAGCAACCTGAACTCCAGGAAGATGGGAACAGAAATGCTGAGCTCATGCAAGAGCTGTGCTCTAAGGACAGGTCAGAAGCCTGCAAACCTTCACAGTAGATGCCAGCTCCCTTCATCCAACCCACCTGCCTGCTCTCTTGTAACACAATATGGAACAGAAGGATCAAAGGCACTAGAAGACAAGCGAGACTCCCAAGACCCAGAAAGCACAAGTTCCCTTCATAGCATCTCATTTCCAAGCACAAGAAGTAATTCCTAAACACAAGCAGCAGGAGGGCTAGCCTGGGCCTCCTGGAGATTTATGGGCTCATTCAAGCAGGGGAATTCAAGCCAGGTAATCCTCAGACTGAGGCTTGGGGCTGCTATGGCCTGAGATTGAGATAATGAAAGCACCCCTTAAGCACTTCGCTGCCTGCACAGCATAGGGGGTTGGAGGAAAGCTACAGCAGGCTGGGCCAGACAGGCAGGGGATCTCCCTCAAACTTAGCAAGCACTAGGAAGAGTGGTTTCCTACTGTTCCAATTAGCTTTGCCCCTGACTTATGGAGGTAAGGCTGTCCTGCAGGAACACAGGAAAGCTCTCCTAATTAAAATGGGAAATAAGCACAGTGAACAGCAAAGCTCACTGTGGTTAAGTGTCTTTCCCAAGGGAGCTTTATATAATGAAAAGAGCACAGGCTTTTGAGTCAAGAGGCCTGAATTTGATTCTCAGCTCTTTCATTTAATAGCTGTGTGACTTTAGGCAAGTTACTTAAAATCTTTTTGGCAAGTTGCTCAATTTCTCTGAACCCCAGGTTCTTCATTCACAAAATGGAGCTAGCTCAGTGGGAAAACACCTGCCTAGCATGCATAAAGTTCAACCCCAGTACTACAAAAACAAACCCCACAGAAACCCAAGGCTTATCATACCTATACCAATAGTTAAGAGATGTTTTAAGGACAAAAAGGTACAATGTACTCCATATAAAAACAACTTTTTGTTTTTTGAGGCAGAGTCTCACTATGTAGTCCAGGCTGGTTTACAACCAATGGCGACCCTCTCCTCACCTCCTGAGTGCTGGGATTACAGGTGTGCATCACTACATCTGGCACAATTTTTGTTTATGAGGATTCATTAGAGCCAATGCTTTCAAAAAGATGATCTTCACAACTCAGCCAGGTACATACACTCACTTCTTTTACTGAAAAATCTGAGGCACAGAAAGGCTGAGTAACTTTCAGGGTCACAAAGTCAGTGAGCAGAGTTCTCAAAAGTCATCACACACCCTTCCCCACTCTGGACTCTGCAGTCTACAAAAAGGAAGCTATATCTGCTTTATTTGCTCATTCATACAGTAGGTACCCTGCATACAGTGCTCAGGAAACAGTAGGTGCTCTGTTCCTATCTAATGAATGAATCATCCAAATTTCAAACCTAAGTTTGAACCGTAAAGTCCATGTTCTCTCCACTAAATCTCTCATAGTCCTTCTAAAAACTTGCTGTTAAGTGCTGTTTCTACAAACAGCTATGAAATTCCTCCCCTTACTATTCCTGTCAAAATTGTAACTCCAGGGCCGGGGATTTAGCTCAGTGGTTTCGCCACCTGCTGTGCAAGCGCAAAGACCCGAGTTCGATCCCCGGTACCAAAAAAAAAAAATTGTAACTCCACACACAGTTTGACTGGTAGGGGTCACAAAGAAAACTGAAAAAACACCTGAATGGTGGAAGGAAATACCTTCTACATAAAGAATTTGACATCTCTTAGATTTCCAGTGTTAATGCCTCCATTCAAGGTGGTACTAGGATCCGAAAAGAACTTGTTTTTGGTGAAGGATACGAAGATTGAACTTTTAACTCCTCAAAGACAACACATATATGGCAACCGGGTGAAAGAACTTTGAAGTGAAAGAAGGTGATGCATCTGATGCCACCTTCTCAGCCTGAGATCAGGAGAAGGGCCCTCTGCCTGAGAGTGACCACTCCAAATGACTTCCTGCCATTGAGGAGGGGGAGTCATAGTTCCCACTGATGAGCAACAAGGGTACTGAAAGAGTTCTACCTCTGATTCAGCAAAGATAATTCAAGATGCTCTGTTGCTGTTTTATGCCGGAAGAGACTTTGTAGGGGCTGTTCGGAGAAACACATCTATAAAATGAGTAATAACACTGGGACCAAGGGAAGCAAGGTTCCAAGTTATCTCTGGGGCCCACTATTACAACTCAACCAATGAAGTGTTGATCCAGAATGGCACGTTATGCTTCTTTTTGGGGGCTCAGTCTGCAGTGACTAACTCTGAGTAGATGTTTAAACAGCTGAGGACTGGGACCTTTCACAGAAACCTACATTAAAAACGACTAGGGGGGGCCAGGGATTTAGCTCAGTGTGTCCGGTGCCTGCCTCGAAAGCACAAGGACCTGAGTTTTATCCCCGGTACCAAAAAAAAACCAACAAAAAACGACTAGGGGGCCGGAGATTTAGCTCAGTGGTTTTGCTGCCTGCTGCGCAAGCATAAAGACCCGAGTTCCATCCCTGGTATCAGAAAAAAAAAAAAAAATAAACGACTAGGGCTGGGGATTTAGCTCAGTGGTGCCACCTGCCTAGAAAGCACAAGGTCCTGAGTTTGATTCCCGGTACCAGAAAAAAAAAAAAAAGGTTAATGTGGGCCAGGGATTTAGCTCAATGGCACCACACCTGCCTCACAATTGCAAGGTCCTGAGTTTGATCCCCAGTACCAAAAAAACCCGACTAATACTTTAAGACTTGATTTCTCCATATAAAGTACAAAAGCTCCAAAATTCCTGGTTGAAACATGTCAAATGTTTGGTTTTTGGGGGGGTTTTTTTGGTACTAGGGATCGAACTCAGGTCCTTGAGCTTGCACAGCAGGCAGCAAAACCACTGAGCTAAAATCCCTGGCCCTTGGGGTTTTTTTTTAGGGGGGGATGGTACTGCTGATTATGCCCAGGTCCTCCCATACGCTAAGCACATCTACTACTGAGCTACACCTCCAGGCCCTGAATGTTTGTCTGTCTTACCTAAAGTTTTTTTGTTTTAACATAGATTAGACAACTATTTTTGTCTAACAAGTGTATTTGTTCAGCCAATATACATTTGAAGTAAAAAAAAAAATCTAGGTTTGTAACAGTAGGGACAAGCCCAGAGTTTAAAATAGCGCAAATCAGAGCCAGGGATTTAGCTCAGTGGTGCTTTGTTGGCCTCACAAGTGAAAGGTCCTGAGTTTGATCCCCGGAACCAAAAAAAAAAAAAAAAAAAGCACAGATCAATTTTACATCACTAAAGTGAAGGCTAAGAATACAGAAAAAATAACAGTCACAACTCAGGAAGCACCTAATTGACTATTTACATCTATTATCTCGTTTAATATTCACTACTACTCTAAGGGGGAGGTATCATCATCCCCATTACATAGGTGAGGAAATTCAAGTCCAGAAAGGCCACATTACTGGCACAGTATCAGGATGCTATCAAGTGAAGACAGAGCTAGCACTAAGGTATCTCTGGCTCAAAGTCAGGACTCCCTAACAGTGGTGGAAATCCCACGTTAATACAAACAGGTAGAGCAGGGCCAGTTATCTTTCTAGGAGAGTGATTGGTACTTCTCAAGTTGGAATTTAGTACAGTGAATGACCAGAGACATGAAATTGCTTCTGTCCAACCCTATACCTGCACATTATCAATTAAAGGCACTAAAATATTAGCACCTCCTTGCTGCCAGCACTGGAACAGGTGGTCAATATCCACCGAAGCTGGGGCCATCACCAGTGCCCACCCCCATCCTCCCTTCTCACCTGCACAGCTTCCCCCTTGCAAAGCCACCTGCAGTGCTAAAACTAACAACCTTCTAACAAGAACCACTTCATGGCAACCAGGGGGCTGAGCAGACAGGCCTCTGGGGGAAGACTGGGTTTTATGTATCAGGAGAAAGAACCTGGCAGAGTGGTTTCAAGGTTGTAGGGGAACCGGTCACCCGAGTAAAGCAGGGCAACAGCCTGGGATTCCGGACAGCGAAGCGGGGTCTGGCGCCCCAGTCACACTCTGCCTGTGTGACCTTGGGCGGTCGCCCTCTTTAAAACGGGCCTCAGTTCTCTTCAAACCAGGTTGGCCTGGATGCGGGATACCGCGGGGTCAGGACAGGTGGATGATGGGTGACCTGTAGGAGCAGGGGGTAACCTCAAAGACTGCGGGGCCTGGGGTTGGGGACCAGTGGAGAGTTTGCGAGGCGGGAACTCGGCAGCTAGACGTGGGGGAGGGGCCCGGAGGAGGGGCCCCGGAGGAGGGCCTCCCTGGGTATAAATGAGCTAGGGCGAACGTGGGGACTCCTGGAAAGGGGGAGTCGGGTCATGTGGGGGCTAGGGGTCACGTGAGGCCAGAGGAGGGTCGGGGTCACGTGAGGGGGGCTCGAGGAACAATAGGGGAGAAGGGGGCGAGGATAACGAAGCGCGCCCCTGAGGCTCCCGTGTCCTCCCTCCGCCTCACTCACCCCCATGGCGCCGGCGGCGACCCTCGGCTTCTTCTTCACACACTTGCCAGCAAGGAGGCGGCAACGGCTGCAGCACGAACGGCGGCGACACCAAAGCGGCAGGGCCCACACTGCGCATGCGTCTCGCGGCTCCCTGCGCGCCTCAGCGGGCACTGCGCAGGCGCACAATGGGGTTGAGGGGCAAGTGGGGAAACGGCGCGCAGGTGCAGCGCCAGCCAGGCAGCAGAGGGTCTCCGACGAAAAAGAGGCGGGAGGCGAGGCGGAGCGTCGCGCTAGGAATGACGCATTCGCCCAAGCCCGGCCCCAAGGGCGACTGTGTCTGTAGCTATGGTAACGGGTCCAGAGGCGCACCTCAACTACGAGCAGTGCGACTCTGGGCAGCCGGTGTGAGTGTGGCCTCCACGTTCACTGACAAGTCATGTCCCCTCTGAAATACCGGCTTCTCAGCTCTCTTGAACACAGAGGAAGTCTTTGAAAGCGCTTCCACCTTCTAGAATTTGACTTTTGGAACTCCTTTTCTAACCGGAATCCTGTTACTCATTCATCCGCCTTCTATCCATTCATTCTCCTTCCATTCATTTGCTTGCTCACCCAACGTTTACTGTGCTGAGCCCGGGAACACGGAGAGGGACCAGAAGCCATCGCAGTACAAAACTGCTGTTAAAAGAGAGACTTAAGGCGTCCTGGGTGGGATTCATTTCACTCTATCCCAGTAGCCCCAGGGAGTGTAACCCCCACACACCCTGCCTGGGAATCATCCGGGGAGTGTCTGCTCCTGGGAAGCCCCCAGGACTACCCCAGAATCTCCAAGGGAGGGAAGCCAGTGCCTTCACTTTCAGAGTACTTCTCAGCCAGGGACATACAAGTAAAAATTAGAGAGCTACTAATTTCAAGACTTGAGCTTCATAGATTTTGTCAGATTTTTATCATTGTCCTATTTTAAGTCCTCAGCCTAGTGGTGTCACCGGCTTGGTACTCTGCCAGATAATAAGCTAAATCGGTAATAAACATAGTATGTTAAATGGTAGAAGTTCTATGAAGGAAAATAAAGCAGGGGAGGAAGACAGGGAAGGTGAGTGTTTATAGTTGTAACTAAGATGCTCAGGGAAAGAACGGGAAATGATATTTGAGCCAAGTGGTATTTAAAGGGGCTGAGGGAGCACGATATCTTCAGGATATCTGGGGAGAGGGCATTCCAGGCAAGCGCACAGCAAGCACAATTCTACCCTCAGGGGAGCACGATTGGATGTTTTTAGTTTCTTTTCACTTATTTGTTTTTTTTTAAACAGGGTCTCTCTCTGTAGTCCAGGCTGGCCTTGAACTCACTGTGTGGTCCAGACTGGCCTCAAACTCGTGGCGATCCTCCTGTCTCAGCCTCCTGAGCGCTGGGATTACAGGTGTACACCACCATGCTCACCTGTTTGCATGTTTAAGGAACTGTAAGAAGCACAGTTGTGAATCTTGTGTGGTGGCACACTCCTGTAATTTCAGCACTCTGGGAGGCTGAGGGAGGAGGATTGCAAATTCTATCCCAGCCTAGGAAACTTAATGACTTTCTGTCTCAAAACAAGATGATTTTTTTTTTTACTTAAATTCTTTTATTGGTACATTTTAGGTATACAACACATTTACATTTCTCATTGGGAACTTGTACTTTTGCCTGATGCATCTTGGTTCTTATTTTTTCCCCATTCCTAGCCCTCCCCAAGTCGATTTTTTTTTTAAAGGCTGAGAATGTAGCTCATTGCCAAGATCCTGGATTCAATCCCCAGGAAAGAGAAAGACGAAGAGGAGAGGAGGGAGGAAAAGAGTCTGGGCCGGGCTGGGTCAGCAGGAAATGGAAGGAGGTCTCATTAGACTGGCAAGGAGAGGCTCATTTACAGCTTTAGGTTTTGAAAGACTTTGGGACCTTAGGCCGGGGATTTAGCTCAGTGGTTCCGCTGCTTGCCTCACAAGCACAAGGACCCTAGTTTGATCCCTGGTACCAAAAAAAAAGACTTTGGGACCTACAGTGAATGAGTACACTGTAGGAAGGTTTGGGTGGAGGAGAGGCACAGCTGGCTTATCCATCCAAAGGACTGCTGGCTGCTGGTGTGAGATGACTGTGGGGCAAGGCCGCAGACGGCAGTGGAGTCCAGGCAAGAGACAAGGCTCCTGTGGCTGATGGCAGTGAAGGAGCAGAAGGTCTCAGGACTCAATGCATTTCAAAGATAGAGTCAATAGGACTTGCTGCCAGGTACTGGAGGTGAACCTATGGCACATGGGCTGAAAGCTCTAAAAGTTTCGATGTTAGTGTAAGGTGTAAGGGAAAGAGAATACTCATGATGCCTTTAAGGCTCTTAGTTTGAGCTGCTGGAAAAATGGAGTGGCTTGGACTAAGATTCAGATGATTTTGGAAAGAACAGTTTCAGGGTGGTGGGGTGGGGCAGAGAGGATTAGGAATTGTTTTTTGCTGTGTCAGGTTTGAGATGCCTTTTTGTTTTGTTTTTGAGACAAGGTCTTACTATGTAACCAAGGCCAAACCTGAACTCACCATGTAGCTGGCCTCAAACTTGGGTCCTCCTGCCTCACCCTCCCATGTGCTGGATTAACAAACTCCTAGCTCAAGATGTCCTTTTTTTTTTTTTTTTTTTGGTAACAGGGATTGAACTTGGGACCTTGCATTTTGAGGCAGGCAGCAGAACCACAGAGCTAAATCCTCCACCCTTTATTTTTTTATTTTTGAGACAAGGTCTCCTTACGTAGTTCAGGCTGGGTTTGAACTCACTGTGTAACCCAAACTGGCCTCAAACTTACTGCTATCCTGTGACTCAGCCTCCAGAGTAATGGGATTACAGGTGTGCACCACACCCAGCAATGGACAGTATTTAAAATTATGAGATTAAGCAAAGCATGATGGCACATACCTATAATCCCAGCACTGGGGAGGCTGAGTTCAAGTCCAACTTCAGCTACATAGTGAGTTCAAGTTCTGCTCAAACTGCGTAGCCAGATGTTGTCTCAAATAAAACAAATAAAAAAGTCAAGAGCTGGGTGTAGTGGGGCATGCCTGTAATCCCAGGATTTAGGAGGCTGAAGCAGGAGGATCACCTTGAGTTGAAGGCCAGCCTGGGCTATATAATGAGCTCAAGGCCAGCCTGAACTACATAGGAAGACCTTGTCTCAAAACAAACAAACAAAAAGAAGTCACGGGGAGCCCAGGGATTTAGCTCAGTGGTTTCACTGCCTGCTGCACAAGCACAAGGACCAGAGTTTGATCCCAGGTACCAAAAAAAAAAAAGTCATGGGGGTCAGGGATTTAGCTCAGTGGCGCCACTGCCTGCCTCACAAGTGCAAGGTCCTGAGTTCGATCCCCAGTACTGCAAAAAAAAAAAAAGTCATGAACCTGGATTGAGCCTGAGAAAGGAATGTAGGTGGATGCAAATGAATGAATGAATCCTCAGCCTGTTCAGAGGTCAGAAATCTGTTATGGTTGCTAACACTCTGGGCACCAGGAGAGGGAGCTAAGGGCAGGAAGAGGGTGCCCTGGGTGAGGAGAGGTGATATCTGAGCCTGCCCTTGAAGGGGAGAAGGAGGCATGAGATTTCAAGAACAGAACAATATTTACAGATCAGGGAACTGGAAGGAACAGGGTAAGGGGGCAAGTGAGCCCCCTGAAGTCCCCGCCTAGTCTGGCCTGTCTTGTCTCCTTCCCTGCGGGGATCCTCACAGTTAGCTGTTTCAGTGCAGGTGACAGCCACCCAGCTACCCTGTGCCCTGTCCCTCCTGCCACTCCTCACTCTTGTTTGACCTTCCCCCAGGCTGCTGGGATTTTCCTGTGGTGCTGGGCAGGCCCTGCACCACTGAGCTACATCCTGGCTTTGCTAAAACTGCTGGAGACCAGACAAAGCCTCTGGCTGAGCCCGGAAGTCCCTTGGGGAGATGGCAGTGTGCACCTTCTCCCTGCCAGCCTGCAAAGGATCAGTGCCCGATCCCTGCCCCCAAAGCAACATCTTTCTCCCTGGGAGCTGCTGATAGTGTGGCTCTTCTCTTGCCCAGGGCTTCCTTGGTCTTGGAGGGTGCTGGGTAGAGCCTGTCTTGGAATCAGACCAGCTGGAGATCAGCTGGAGACCAGTTTAAACCCCTTTTCTGCTACTCATTGGCTTTACAATTTTAGGCAAGGTGTTCAATTCCTGTCTGTCTGTCTCTCTCTGTCTCTTTCTCTTGCTTTTTTTTGTTTGCGACAGGGTCTTGCCATGCAGCTCAGGCTGGCCCTGAATACATGATCCTCCTGCCTTACCCTCCCTCATACTGGAATTACAGGCATGTGCCTGTACCTGGTTTAGTGTTCAACATCTCTGGGGATCCATTTCCTTATTTATAAAGTGAGACCACCAAAAGCAATCTGTAGCCAAGTGTGGTGGCACACACTCGGGAGGCTGAGGCAGGAAGATCACTGAGAGTTCAAGGCCAGACTGGGCTACATAGTGAGTTCACAGCCAGCCTGAACCACATAGCATGATCCTGTCTCAAATAACCAAAAAGAAAAAAAGAAAGAAAGAAAGAAAAAGGCTGGGGACATAGCTTAGTGCAAGGCCCTGGATTTAATTCCCAGTACTGCCAAAAAAATTGAGATGTGTTATGTACATGTACCAATTCCGTGTATGGCTGGTGTCTAGATGTTCACCCAAAGCCTCATTCAGTCATAGGTGAGACTTTTCAGAGATGGCTGGATCTAGAGCATAGAATGCTGGGAGTAAGAGTGTGTGATTATTGGGCCAGGGATTTAGCTTAGTGGTTCCACAGCCTGCCTCGTAAGCACAAGGTCCCAAGTTTGATCCCCGGTACCAAAAATAAATTAATAAAATGAGTGTGTGATTACTAAATTAGTCCACTGATTGGTTTGACATAGTCCTAGGGAAGGCCCACCCTGGGTGTGAGTGCTACCTACCCTAAGAACATGTAGCCTGGATAGAATATAAGGGACAGAAAAAGGGCTGCTGCCCTCGCTTGCTGCTTGGCTACTTCCCTGGTTGGTGCTTCCTGTTACCCTGCCATGGACTGTTTCTCCTCTACCATGCCACCCTGCCTTGGAGCCAGCCAACTATAAACTGAAACTTCTACAAACTGAGCTACGATAAAGCTTTCCTCCATTTATGTACTTATTTATTTATTTTTGGTACCGGGGATCGAACTTGGGACCTTGCGCTTATGAGGCAGGCAGCAGAACCACTGAGCT